TGAAATGGAAGGATTGGAAAAGTATTTGCAGGACACAGATTCAGGACGAGGGGCAACTTACAAAAGTCGCGGTAGCTGAAATCTCACAAAGGAATTTTCGGTAGGCTGAAGTCTTCCGTCCCTCATTTAAAGCAGAAGGCATAGTGATTGGTAGGAGATACTTTAATCTAGGGTTTGACAGGAAGAAATTGCAGGTAAATACATGACAAATATTAAATATAATATTAGTATTAATAATATTAATATTATTATTAAATAAAAACCAATATAAGTCAACCTAGTTTCGTGTACTAAAGTAGCGTCGCTCTTTCTACATTTTATTTTTGTGCGTTCATGTCGCGTGAAACCTGCAACAATCTTCTTTTGTAGGAAAAAGTTTTAAAGTAATAGAATCACCCTTCTATTTTGCTCCTACTCGGCTATGCAATAGAAACTAACCGCTACTTTTATCCGCTATACTTTTTAATGGATGATTTTAGTAAGCAAGCAAGGTTAGAAGTGCTGTAAATTCCGAGTGGCGTTTAATTCAAACTGAGTTTTCCAAATTTGCACCCATGAAAGGGTCTGATGCATGATTCAATCAAGGCGGCAGTAATGCTGAATATCCACACCTTCCTGTCTATTAAATACTTTAGTGACAACTCCTCTGGCAGTTCCTAGACTGGTAGGGTCATTGCCCAGAAGGAATGTCGAGGACATGCTAGGTCTACCCCTGGAGGCCTGGAGCATAACCTGTCAGTGTGAGGAATGAAGATTTCACAGATATTTACAATTTTGATTCGTTTAGATGCTGAAATTAGTAGTTCACGACTAAGGACTCGTATTGTCCAGCCTTTTTGTTTCTCACCTTCCCAGACATTCGCAGAAGGCTGTAATAATCACTTTCTATACTGACTTTTATGAAGTGAAATGGTCCTGGCTTCGCTCGCACCTTCAGGCCCACTTCCTCACGCATCCGCATTTTCCGAGGGAACGAAAATATCAAGTCTGCGCATTTCCCCTTCCAAGTCTTCCCCATCAAAGAGTTGTAATTCTTTGTGTGTAAGGGCAGACAGCTGTCATCAAAGTACTTGCCACATGTATATCTTAAGCCTAATTCACCCAAAATTGGCATCAGCATCCGGATGGAAATGCTTATAGCACAAATACGAGATAAATGAAAACACCCTGAGAGTAAAAATAAGATTGAAATTCCATGCGCACAACAGCAATACAGTGTGCAAAACAGGCACAAAGAGCCCAGACAAGGACGCCAACTCCATCAGATAATAAGCTAAGCATCGATAAATACAATTGTGAACAAACAACTTACGAGACCAATCGCTCGCTGTGACCGGCTACCAAAATCGCGCTCACTGAATTGCCCCAAAATTCGTCCCTCTGAAAGTGGAGGAGGGATAGGAGCTAAATACGCACACCTTTTCTCACACAGCATGACCAATAATTAAGGAAATATTATCAACAGGAACAATACCGAATCACCCTAGTGGTGACCTAGCTTCAGTCATCTTCCGCAGAATGGAATTACTTTTTACATTATGAAACCAGTGATTGAGTTTTGGATTTATTTCAAACTTCAGTTAACTGGTGATCGGGTTTAGCAGACCAAATTTGAGGTTAGGGACAGAGTCACTCCAACAGACTCACCGCTTTGGCCGTAAAAGCATCATAAGCCTCAAGGAAGGTGGCGAAATCAGTACACAGGTCCTTCAATTCGGCCTCATATTCACATTTCAACAAGTTGCCTTGGGTGGTCAAGCGCCGTGAACGTTTACCTTTACCAGCTGCCTTGTATTTTCGCAGCTCAGCCTCACACATACTCTTCACAGCTTTTACCCAATCGGCGGTTAATTTGAGCTCTGCTAGGTAATCGAAGACGTAGTGAACCTGGTAGATGAGAATGGGGAGAAACATTCAGGTGAAAATATTCAGGATTTATAGTGAAAACGTATGCCTGCCAGTCCCAATACGCCTGTCAACTGAATACCCACTGTCAACAAGCATCGTATGCGCATAGGAAAGATGGAGCGTCCACCGCCCAGCTCAGAACCTCTTTACGTCTTTTCACTAAGTTTCTGAGCGAGACATGCAATGGATTTAATGATAAGGAATTATAGCCTTTGAAGGAACGCCTTCTTGTCTTGCACACAACGTTTAAAAGATGAATGCTGAGAGAGGGCGTGCATTGGAAATCTCAGGCAACTATTTCTAGTCCATAGAGGGCGTCAGAAAGTCAGAATACGGTTTGAGACAAAGACTGGCCGCATAGGAACGAAAAACCTGCGCAAAATCCACAAGATAGTGTCTGCTCTCCCTGTCGTGTGCATACCTAATGTCTGTGCTGAGTCAGTAAACGCCTACTGAAGTCTCCGTCACGTCTACTGAATGTCTAATTCTTAATGCTATGGCGAACAACAAAAGTTTACATTAAATCCGAACTGGCCACAATTTTATAATAAAAAATGAAAATTGGGAGTATTTCTCCATGGATTCAAAAGATCAAAAGTGGGATTAGAAGGGATTACTTCAATTTCATTCATTTTCGAATTTCCCTCTACGCGTAGTTCTAATAAGCTCTCGAGGTTTCCATCGTCATTGGCCTAGGATCTTAAATGTGATTTCCGAAAAAGGTTTTGCCTGCGCAATGTCTGGCTCCTGATACAGACAATTAATGGCTTCTTTTCAATACTCTTCAAACATTCCAAGAGTCTGAAATTTTTTAAATGCAAGTAAAAAAAATTGGAGCAAATATAGTGAGCACATCACTGCTTAAAAGTAGCTAGCGTCGGCTCCGCCCTATAAATTGAACTTATTCTTACAAGACTTAGAGCATGGTCTGCCAAATATGTGGTTTGAGGTGGATGTTCATGATTTCGTAAAGTGGAACCCCAAAATGCCCACAGAGACTCACAAGTTCTATACCTCATTTGCTATTCTTTTTTTATAATAAATCCACGACTGCTTGCCAGGATTTCACGGAACAATTGACATCTAAGAGCCGGAGTCACAATTCCTACAGGTTGACGACAAAAATATGGCTCCTTATAGGTTCCTTCCAAGTTAACCGCAATTTTCACAACTTGATGCATTAGAGCGTGATGGTCGTTGCTGTCAACCCGGTACACTAGGGAGTCCTTCTTGCGAGCTACTCACCACTCGTCGTCAGCATGGC